TCGTGAGATCTTGCCAACAACCTCCTTCCCTCAGTAAGAGCATTGAAGATGGGTCGTGGCTGGGTCTTCCAGCATGACAACGACCCGAAACACACAGCCAGGGCAACTAAGGAGTTGCTCCGTAAGAAGCATCTCAAGGTCCTGGAGTGGCCTAGCCAGTCTCCAGACCTGAACCCAATAGAAAATCTTTGGAGGGAGCTGAAAGTCCGTATTGCCCAGCGACAGCCCCGAAACCTGAAGGATCTGGAGAAGGTCTGTATGGAGGAGTGGGCCAAATTCCCTGCTGCAGTGTGTGCAAACCTGGTCAAGACCTACAGGAAATGTATGATCTCTGTAATTGTAAACAAAGGTTTCTGTACCAAATATTAAGTTCTGCTTTTCTGATGTATCAAATACTTATGTAATGCAATAAAATGCAAAATAATTACTTAAAAATCATACAATGTGATTTTCTGGATTTTTGTTTTAGATTCCGTCTCTCACAGTTGAAGTGTACCTATGATAAAAATTACAGACCTCTACATGATTTGTAAGTAGGAAAACCTGCAAAATCGGCAGTGTATCAAATACTTGTTCTCCCCACCGTAGGTATGAGTAAACAGCAAGCTTATTGTTAGATTGGATATCAAAAGAGAGACCAAGTCCTCCTGTCAATTTAATTCCTTAATTTAATCAGAGTGAATCAATAGAAAACACCATCCAAAAAATACAGACAAACCAAAATGATGCCACACGGCGAAAAGGGATTAGTTGGTGGCGCTCAGTCATAGCTAATCAAAAGACAACCACTTACAGTAGAAATGTTCATCCTTCGTAGTGGCCATTATTTCAAACACACATCTCATTTTGCAACCAATACTGTAGATAGATGAGTATCAAGAAGCTTTTGGAAAATTCCCAGACTAGTTAGTACCACCTCGTTTAACCCATTTGTGTTTTCCAGTTTTGGTGTCGCTCTTTCGCTAAATGCCTTATGGGCATATTGTCTTTCTCATTTAGAGACAAAGCCTAGCCTATCTGTGCTCAGTAATTTCTTGCTGAAATTAGTATGCCGTGTGTCAAATCGAGGTGGTAATAACTAGGATAGTACTGAAGCGAACAGAACTGAAAAGATTCAAAACCCACATTCGCACCATTGTTGATTGAGAGTAGACTTTAAGGCACCAGTATAAGGATTGAACAGAGGGGGAACTGAGCTAAACAAAACAACATTAGCTACACCAGAGGCTTATGGTTGGGGGAAAACCTTGTTTGCATCCACACAGACAGGAAAAGCTACAGCCTACATTTGGAAATATGTACAGTGCCTTGCAAAGGTATTCATCCGCCTTGGCGTTTTTCCTATTTTGTTGCATTACAACCTGTAATTAATTTCATTTAACGGACATAAGCAAAGATTTTCAAATTGGTGAAGTGAAATTTAAAAAATAGCTTGTTTCAAAAAATTATAAAAAAATCAATAACGGAAAAGTGGTGCGTGCATTTGTATTCACCCCCTTTGCTATGAAGGCCCTAAATAAGTTATTGTGCAACCAATTACCTTCAGAAGTCACATAATTAGATTGCACACAGGTGGACTTTATTTAACTAAGTGTCACATGATCTGTCACATGATCTCAGTATATATACACACCTGTTCTGAAAGGCCCCAGAGTGTGCAACACCACTAAGCAAGGGTCACCACCAAGCAAGCGGCACCATGAAGACCAAGGAGCTCTCCAAACAGGTCAGGGACAAAGTTGTGGAAAAGTACAGATCAGGGTTGGGTTATAAAAAAAGATCAGAAACTTTGAACATCCCACGAAGCACCATTAAATCCATTATTAAAAAATTGAAAGAATATGGCACCACAACAAACCTGCCAAGAGAGGGCCGCCCACCAAAACTCACAGACCAGGCAAGGAGGGCATTAATCAGAGAGGCAACAAAGAGACCAAAGATAACCCTGAAGGAGCTGCAAAGCTCCACAGCTGAGATTGGAGTATCTGTCCATAGGACCACTTTAAGCCGTACACTCCACAAAGCTGGGCTTTACGGAAGAGTGGCCAGAAAAAAGCCATCGCTTAAAGAAAAAAATAAGCAAACACGTTTGGTGTTCGCCAAATGGCATGTGGGAGACTCCCCAAACATATGGAAGAAGGTACTCTGGTCAGATGAGACAAAAATTTAGCTTTTTGACCATCAAGGAAAACGCTATGTCTGGCGCAAACCCAACACCTCCCCGAGAACACCATCCCCACAGTGAAGCATGGTGGTGGCAGCATCATGCTGTAGGGATGTTTTTCCATCGGCAGGGACTGGGAAACTGGTCAGAATTGAAGGAATGATGATGGCGCTGAATAGTTATGCACGCTCAAGTTCTGTTTTTTTGGCTTATTTCTTGTTTGTTTCACCCAAAAATGTATTTTGCATCTTTAAAGTGGTAGGCATGTTGTGTAAATTAAATGATACAAAACCCCAAAAATCCATTTTAATTCCAGGTTGTAAGGCAACAAAAGAGGAAAAATGCCAAGGGGGGTGAATACTTTCGCAAGCCACTGTATAAGGTCAAAGATACTGGATATAATGACGAGATGCTTATTTCTCCACTAACAATGGGATTAATTGTCCACAGAGCGGAACGGCGGGCTGTCAAGCTTCCGCCTATTCCGGTCTTTGGATTGGTGGATACATCTAATTATTTGAATACTTTTTTGAACACCCGCAATAACAGCGGCTAAATATGTGTATGTGACCAATACAATTTTATTTAGATTTGATGAGGGGTGTTGACGTCAACCGCCTTTATTCAATGGAGAGTGAGATGCTAGAATTTCAACAGGGACAACTCCGATATAAAGTGTATTTTCTCAAAGTCACGTGTATCACATTTATATATCAGTACACTTGTAACAACCTAATCATTACAAAACCTTATTAGATCAAATAAGCCTCACGCAATTAATTTTAACTAGACTAAATTCGACACTCATTAGCCCTCATACAAAAACTAAACTTGCTTAATAATTAATGAATGATCTGCTTAACGTGGGGAGATTTTGTGTGGAGTAAACCCACTCACTTCGCCTCTTCCTCTCTGATAAGGTGCAACAAAAGGAGGTTGCTTGCACTGTTTCTGAAATTGATAGACTAAAACAACTTGCGTCAGGAAACAAGTAAGCCTTATGTTATTGATGCATTAGTGCATGTTAGGGTTGTCAAGATACCAGTATCGCGATACTACAATACCAGATCCATGGCAAAAAAGAAAACATGAAAGAGATGAAACTCTATGGTCCTTGAAAAACCTACTTATTGTGTGTTTTTTCAACATTAGGACTGTTATCTGCTTCATGTTTAGTTTTTTCCTTAACACGATCTTTCAGAGTATTGCGATACTAGTATTATGACAACGCTAGTGCATGTAGTGAAATGTTCAGTAACAGAACTGGGATTTTGTGGTCCGCCATCTTAAATGAGGACTCCTAATACTGGTGCGTTCAATGACACAGAAGTGTTCTCATCAAATGTACGTCTCATATTAGAATATAGGCCTAATAGGATAGTCATTGCAAAATATAGTGGGGTCCGAAATTATTGACATTCTTGATAAAGATTAGCAATAATGACTGTATAAAATAAATCATTCAAATACTAAGCTATATTGTATGCAACAAAAACATTTTTTGGTGAAATTATATTATAGTAATGCAACATCTCTTTTTCTGAGCAATTGTTAAACAAGTTTTTTTTTTTATATTCTCAAAAAAGGTAGGGGTCAAAATTATTGACACCCCTAATTATTCGTAGAAATAAAGTAGTCAAAAGTTTAGTATTTGGTCCCATATTCCTAGCATCAAGCTTGTGACACTACAAACTTGTTGCATGCATTTGCAGTTCGTTTTGGTTGTGTTTCAGATTCTTTTGTGCACATCAGAAATGAATAATAAATAATGTATTGTGTCATTTTGGAGTCCATTTTATTGTAAATAAGAATAGAATATGTTTCTAAACACTTCTACATTATTGTGGATGCTACCATGATTACGGATAGTCCTGAATGAATCGTGAATAATGTTGAGTGAGAAAGTTAGATGGTCAAAGACCATACCCCCAAGACATGCTATCCTCCGCTGTTATTGGTGAGAGGTTAGCATGTCTTGGGGGTATGATCTTTGACCATCTGTAACTTCACGATTCATTCAGGATTATCCGTAATCATGTTAACATCCACATGAATGTAGAAGTGTTTAGAAACATTATATTCTTATTTATAATAGTGACTCCAAAATGACACAATACATTATTTACCATTGATTTCTATGGGGCACAAAATAATCTGAAACACAACCAAAAAACAAACCGCATCCAACAAGTTTAAGAGTCACAAACTTGTTGTAATCATTGCGTGCTAGGAATATGGGACCAAATACTAAACTTTTATAAGAATCTTTAGGGGTGTCAATAATTTTGGCCTCCACCATTTAGGGGGAAAAAAAGTATTACCTGTGAAACAAAATCTCTGACCAACTGTATTAATATAAAATACAATCTCTCAATTTTGATGAGCATACAATATAGCTCAGTATTTGAGTTATTTATTTTATAGTCATTATTGCTAATTTTTAACAAGGGTGTCAATTTTGGACCCCACTAAATATTGTGCATTACTTTCCGATAATTTGTTGTCAAATGACTTCTCAAACTGATTCCTTTCACACATAGAAAATGACAACACACCAAATCATTTCTTGTTTGTACAGAGAGCAGAAAGGGTGCACCGCAATTATGCAAATCCACTCCAAAGACAACATCCCACACACACATCCAAACTATGTCTCCGCTAAGACAGACAGACACCCAAAGAGGAATTAAAGAAAAAGGTCATTCTCGCCACCACACAGAAAATACAAATCAAGAAGAGGACAATTGACAGTTTTTTTTGTTAATCAGTTCGAAGCAGTTTGTTGTGGACATTTTTTTTGTTCATCAGTTCAAAGCAGTTTGTTGTGTTTGTGTTTTTATACCTTGCTCCTGAAGAGAGGCTTGGCGCCGGGGCCGCAGTACTCGTTGTAGATGAGCTTGAAGAGAAAGAGGTGGAAGAGGGTGACGAGCGAGGCCACGCTGAACCAGAAGAGGAAGGGCAGGCCGGGGTACTGCTTGGCCATGTGCTCCTCATGCGCCAGGATGGCCTTGAGGTGCAGCGTGTGCCGCAGGTCCTGCAGGTGGCGCAGGTCCGTGGAGATGTAGAGCAGCGGCGTGATGGGCTGTGTCACCATCACTGGGAACACGTGGCCCTTGGCCTCCACCAGCGACGACGTCAGCTCGACAGGCTCGTTGAGGCAGCCCGCCTCGCAGGCGTACAGCGCCACAGACTTCTCCTGGGGCTTGACTGACACGTGCAGGAAGGGTTTGCCCTCGAGGTCCAGGAGCACGGCCAGGTTGATCAGGTCCTGGTTGTAGTGGATTCCACGCAGCGCGTAGCTGTTGTGCAGCACGTCCGGGTCCGCCTGGAACTGCAGGTGGTTTTCGTTGAACGAGAGGCCTCCGAAGCTGAGCACGGCACCCTGCATAACTCCATGGGCGCCTGCCGCCACCAGCACCTTGCAGCCCCTCTTCTGCAGAGTGAGGGTCCACAGGTTGACCAGCTGCAGGACTTGGGCCACACTGCTGACCCGCTCCGGCCACAGGTTCTCAGCGTGCATTGTGGCATGCCCGCTGAAGCAGTGGTCGGCGTAGTTGAGGCTGGACTCCAGACGGGCACGCTCCTCAGTGCCAAGTCGGCGGTCCAGCAGGGGCGCCGGCGAGGCCGAGAGGACGTAGTAGAGCGTGGTGTTGACCGTGGCGCTGGACGGCGTGTGTGCGTCGGTGATCTTACGCATCTCCACCCCTGCAGGAGAAACACACAGTAGATGTGGGAACAGAATAGGTCAACATAGTAAAGCTGGGACGATCAACCCGAAAAGTACCGACACTTCTTAACATCTCATGGAACTGATGGGGACTGTGAAGGGGATACACACAGAGAAACAAAAACGCACGCGCACACAGACACACTAACACAATCGTTTTAGTTGTATTGATTGTATTATTTTTTGTTGTATTGTTTGTATATCGTTGTATTTAAAATTTGTGTGACTGTCCTTGTCTATCAGTGTATCAGTGTTTTGTTACTTGTCATGTTGTGTTTTTTGTGGACTCCAGGAAGAATAGCTGCTGCCTAGGGGATCCAAATAAACAGAGATTGCCTTCCTCTTACTGAAGCAGTTTGCTTACATCTGAATGTTTGGGTGATTTTGCTACACAACGTTCCTGTAGCTCACTAGTCACCAACCTTTGAGTCAAGATCACTTTCGCAGTCAAAAAGCAAGCAAAGATCTACCACTCTGATTTTCTTGTGACTTAAGGAATGTAAGCCAATGCAACATTAACTGAATAAAACAGTTCTGTAGGAATGAGGTTTGGGCAGTAGGCCTAATAGATTATTACAGCATATTGGCTATATGCCTGGCCTGCCAATATTGCTCTTCTCAGACCATATTATATTTCAAAACTCAAGCTTTGATAACAAAACAGATCAGTTGTTATATCACTTGCGAGGCACAGCTAAGCATAAATGGTAATAATTTGCTTTTTTATTTCACTGGACTGATGGGTACCTGCTCAGTCTCAGCGGAGGGAGAGAGCAGCAGTGCTGAATAAAAACGTAAACTTATAAAAATAGCAGCTCTTTGCTGTATTCTTTGACAGTCTCTCTCTGGTCATGGTTTTAAAAGTTATGAAAACTCACGTAGGCTAGTATCAACCTTGGCTGTGCCTGTAGGGTCGTGGAAGCTGTAGGCACAGTGATTTGAGCTATCTGATTGGCCAGCGCAGGAGACGCACTTGATTTAGCCACAACTCTCCTGGTCTGCCGGGTAGGCGGAGTTTGTCCCTTCAGACAAATGAAATGGTTCAAAATGGGAACACTACCCAGTGTGCAGGGCTTATGAATCAAGTGCACCTACCACCAACAACGCAAGACAAATCAAAACAGTAATAGCCTATGCATTATGTTGATTCCTGCTATGAAAGTATCTGCCGGTCCCTGTTTCGCTGTCGGCTGCTGACTCACTCCCTCTCCCCACTGTGGGCATAGAGGAGGGAGAAATGCATTCTGAGAAGCACAAGCATATGACCGTTGCTCAAAATGCTACTACGGGAAAAATACAGTTTTCAAAGCGACGACTATTTTTCTAGTTACAGAGTCACAGCTTTCTGCGAGTAATGAGTATAGAATGCATTTCTCACCTCTTAATATTGAGTTCATGGCACCACTTTACAACCGGAGTAGGCTGTAGTTAGTATGGTTTTGATGTAGCCTAGGCCTAGCGCTGGAAAGTTTTTGTAGGACATTAGCCTAGATTTACTGATATATTAGGGATGAGAATCTTTCCTTTTCTAGATGATTCGATACGCATCTAGATAAATGGGCTCCGTTCCGTTACAGGAACAATATGTTTTAGTTAAAACGAGTCAGTGCGATTTGGTTTGATTAGAGAACGAATCGATGCAATTCGGTTCGATGCAATACGATTCGATGCACTACCATTTGTTGCATAAACACATTCATTTTCCATTCTAAATTAAAATCTGCTGATGATGGAGCTCATGAGCTGGGCCTCTCTGAGCTGACGTGTGTAAATGATGTATGTACTATGTAGGCCCCTTAAGGGAGACCGCCCCACTAACACTATCAGATTGTAGCCTATGGTTTTTGTCCCCCCACTTTGGTTCTGAAATTACCATCACCCACTAATTAACTTGTCATTTTGCAGATTAAGTGTTAGCTAGTAATGTATCAATATTTATTGTTTACAAATTAGCTATGACATAGCCAATGAATATAGCACAATTTTGGATTTCACCCCCCCCATCTCAAAATCGAATGGTTTTGAACGTTTGGAAGTTTTTACGGAGTGATCTTCTCTTCTCCTTTTTGGCCATGCAGTGCACATTGCAAAAGTGATTTCTGTCCTCGTTATGACATTTTCAACTTTACCCTGTATATCTACAAATGACCATATATTGTTTCAAGCAAAACTACCAAAACTATTGTTGGTGGTAAACCTAAATCTATTGTAAGCCCCATTCAGCAGATTTGACCAGATGAGAGCTGTGTCTCCAGTAGCTTACTTTTATTCCGGTGTTTCTAGCTTGAAAAGGTACTTATTCATGTTATCATACTAGAACTCATTAATTACTTTACATGTATAAGGAATGTATATGTTGGGGTCAATGAAGGGTAGATGGGAACTAGGTATATGGAAAGTTACTGAGAGTACATATTCAGTTCAATGTTTCTAAGGAGGGAGGCGAAGGGCAGTTGTTAGTCTCTGATAAGGCAGGCTGGCTGCGGAACGAGGGAGGAGCGAGGAAAGCGTCTCGAGGTCAAATCAACAGATGAAGTGAGAAGAAACCTCGGAGAAGAAACCACAATGACTCTCCTACTACACTCCTATCTAACACATACACGCCCACCAAGGTTTCAGTAACAGGCAGGGCTGTGACTACACCAGTGAGAGGAACCAATTCAATTCCTGCCTAGCAACAGAGATGTATTGTTTGTCTAGATGTGTAAGGAGTTGACCCTACCTATTAGAAGGTTATAAATAGATGTGCTTGTGTAATCATGCCTTGTATTTGCCGCTGTGTGACCTCAGTGGGTGAACAAACTTGGTTGGAGCTTTTTCTAGTTGTCCATTTGAGTTTTTACTCAGTTTGTTCAGAACCTAACACCGGTAAAATACAATTTTCAACAGCCCATAGTTAACAATAACCTATGAAATTACATAGGTTGTCACTCAACTAATAAAGCCTAATATCACGCAAGCCATTTTACCATTTGAATGCTGAAGGTGCCGCTCAGGTGCGTAAGATCAGGCCGCCTACCTCGCGTTGGTCAGCTTGCGAAGCTGGGCAGAGTGCGCTGTTTGACTAGGCTACTGATATTGCCTGGGGTTTTTCAGCATGCAAAATGACTTGTAGATCAATGCCTGTCAACACAGTTCGATGCAGTTCGACACTGAAGGAGAGGATGCATCAGTTGTCACAAAAGATGAGGTAGAAAGAATGTAATTGTGAACAATTGTGATGCATGCTACATTTGGATCGGTTTGGGGTCCGTGGATGACGCACTTGTTTCTTAAACATTTCAATCGGGGACCGATGCGTATCGATGAATCATTACATCCCTATGATATATTAATTAATTAGCCTACATGGCTATCTAGCAACAACATAATATTTAGAGTTAGCAATCTAGCTAAGTGTTTTGAGTTCCCACTTCCTCAGGTAGTGAATAATATAGCCTATAGGCCAATTCGCACAAAGATGTCGCCAAATTCTCTGAAGAGCCTGAAATAAATCTCTGATAATTCTGGATCATATTTTGACAGGTTGAACATCAAAATATCAAATCATGCATTTCCTGGATATGTTATATGAAATATATATACACTGCCTCAAAAAAATAAAGGGAACACTTAAACAACACATCCTAGATCTGAATGAATGAAATAATTCTTTACATAGTTGAATGTGCTGACAACAAAATCACACAAAAATTATCAATGGAAATCAAATGTATCAACCCATGGAGGTCTGGATTTGGAGTCACCCTCAAAATTAAAGTGGAAAACCACACTACAGGCTGATCCAACTTTGATGTAATGTCCTTAAAACAAGTCAAAATGAGGCTCAGTAGTGTGTGTGGCCTCCACGTGCCTGTATGACCTCCCTACAACGCCTGGGCATGCTCCTGATGAGGTGGCGGATGGTCTCCTGAGGGATCTCCTCCCAGACCTGGACTAAAGCATCCGCCAACTCCTGGACAGTCTGTGGTGCAATGTGGCGTTGGTGGATGGAGCGAGACATGATGTCCCAGATGTGCTCAATTGGATTCAGGTCTGGGGAACGGGCGGGCCAGTCCATAGCATCAATGCCTTCCTCTTGCAGGAACTGCTGACACACTCCAGCCACATGAGGTCTAGCATTGTCTTGCATTAGGAGGAACCAAGGGCCAACCGCACCAGCATATGGTCTCACAAGGGGTCTGAGGATCTCATCTCGGTACCTAATGGCAGTCAGGCTACCTCTGGCGAGCAAATGGAGGGCTGTGCGGCCCCCCAAAGAAATGCCACCCCACACCATGACTGACCCACCGCCAAACCGGTCATGCTGGAGGATGTTGCAGGCAGCAGAACGTTCTCCACGGCGTCTCCAGACTCTGTCATGTCTGTCACATGTGCTCAGTGTGAACCTGCTTTTATCTGTGAAGAGCACAGGGCGCCAGTGGCGAATTTGCCAATCTTGGTGTTCTCTGGCAAATGCCAAACGTCCTGCACGGTGTTGGGCTGTAAGCACAACCCCCACCTGTGGACGTCGGGCACTCATACCACCCTCATGGAGTCTGTTTCTGACCGTTTGAGCAGACACATGCACATTTGTGGCCTGCTGGAGGTCATTTTGCAGGGCTCTGGCAGTGCTCCTCCTGCTCCTCCTTGCACAAAGGCGGAGGTAGCGGTCCTGCTGCTGGGTTGTTGCCCTCCTACGGCCTCCTCCACGTCTCCTGATGTACTGGCCTGTCTCCTGGTAGCGCCTCCATGCTCTGGACACTACGCTGACAGACACAGCAAACCTTCTTGCCACAGCTCGCATTGATGTGCCATCCTGGATGAGCTGCACTACCTGAGCCACTTGTGTGGGTTATAGACTCCGTCTCATGCTACCACTAGAGTGAAAGCACCGCCAGCATTCAAAAGTGACCAAAACATCAGCCAGGAAGCATAGGAACTGAGAAGTGGTCTGTGGTCACCACCTGCAGAACCACTTCTTTATTGGGGGTGTCTTGCTAATTGCCTATAATTTCCACCTGTTGTCTATTCCATTTGCACAACAGCATGTGAAATTTATTGTCAATCAGTGTTGCTTCCTAAGTGGACAGTTTGATTTCACAGAAGTGTGATTGACTTGGAGTTACATTGTGTTGTTTAAGTGTTACCTTAATTTTTTTGAGCAGTGTACATTTATTAGGCCCTAATCTATGGATTTCACATAACTGGGAATACAGATATGCATCTGTTGGTCACAGATACCTTTAAAAAAAAGGTAGGGCAATGAATCTGAAAACCAGTCAGTATCTGGTGTGACCACCATTTGCCTCACGCATCGCGACACATCTCCTTCCCATAGAGTTGATCAGTCTGTTGAATGTTGTCCCACTCCTCTTCAATGGCTGTGCAAAAAAAACGTGTCGTACACGTTGATCCAGAGCATCCCAAACATACTCAATGGGTGATGTGTCTGGTGAGTATGCAGGTCATGGAAAAACTGGGACATTTTCAGCTTCCAGGAATTGTGCACAGATCCTTGCGACGTGGTGCCGTGCATTATCATGCTGAAACATGAGGTGATGGCGGCAGACAAATGGCACGACAACGGGTCTCAGGTTCTCGTCATGGTATCTCTGTGCATTCAAATTGCCATCGATAAAATGCAATTGTGTTCGTTGTCTGTAGCTTATGCCTGCCCATACCATAACCCCACCAAATTGTGTTCGTTGTCTGTAGCTTATGCCTGCCCATACCATAACCCCACCACCACCATGGGATGCTCTGTTCACAACGTTGACATCAGCAAGCCGCTCGCCCACACGCCGCCATACACGTGGTCTGTGGTTGTGAGGCCGGTTGGATGTACTGGCAAATTATCTAAAACGATGTTGGAGGCGGCTTATGGTAGAGAAATAAACATTCAATTCTCTGGCAACAGCTCTGGTGGACATTCATGCAGTCAGCATGCCAACTGCACGCTCCCTCAAAAATTGAGACATCTGTGGCATTGTGTTGTGTGACAAAACTGCACATTTTAGAGTGAACTTTAATTGTCCCCAGCACAAGGTGCACCTGTATAATGATCATGCTGTTTAATCAGCTTCTTGATATGGCCACACTTCTCAGGTGGATGGATTATCTTGGCAAAGAAGAAATGCTCACTAACAGGGATGTAAACAAATTTGTGCACAACATTTTAGAGAAATAAGCTTTTTGTGAATATAGAAAATTTCTGATAACTTTTATTTCAGCTCATAAAACATGGGACCAACACTTTACATGTTGTGTTTATATTTTTGTTAAGTTCAGCAGACCTTTTTTTTATATCATAGGCTACCATCTCAGTCATCTTTCTTGGCACTGGAAAAAAAAATGTCTAGAGCCCTGTAAATGTCCATAAAAATAAACAAATATTGTTGTATTTGTTGTTATCGAGCAAAATATTAACATTTGTGATGTGACTTTTTGTCCATTTCACCCAGCTCTAGCACCTCCATCCAAAATAATGTTTCTTAATGTATCGCATCGAAAAACAATTCGTTGATTTATCGCGATATGGATTTTTGTCCATATCGCCCAGCTCTATAGTAATTTGATATAGAACTACATCATTCATTAGCCTAGTCATTCATCATGATCAGGTAGCATGCAAGTATTTTTTAGATACTGGGTTCTCTCAATACCATCCATGAATTGTTTCATCCTGTACAGTCTATGAGAAAACTGGCATCTCAGCCTTGACTTTGCATTTACTCACCAGAGATGAAGAGGTCCATCCAGGCCTGTTGGTGGTCCTGGACCAGATCTTCTACGTTGGCCCTCAGCAGCTCTCCCAGCTCTTTCTTGGCCCCGTCTCGGAGCCTGGTGAAGGTCTCCTCCAGCTTGGCCGACTCGATGGGCTCCGACATCCACACCACCGACAGCACACTCTCTGCAAACTCTGACTTGGCAGCCACCTGGATGCGGCTGCCCAGCTTATTGGTGGCCACCACCACCACCACTATCTGCTTCTTCTCCGGCAGAACCACGCGGCCCGACGACAGCACCACCTCCTTGTCCTCCACCTTCTCCACACTGGCTGAGAACTTGCTCCCGAACAAGGGCGTTTCGGTGGACACCTCCAGGGTGGCGGCCCGCTCAGAGGGGTTGTTGACGTGGATCCTCTGGAGGAAGACGTTGGGCCGGCTGCGGTGGGCGATGAACTCCTCTCGGACGGTGAGGCAGTCACGGGCTGACCCGGAGCTGCCGACTCCCCCTGGGAGGACGCAGCGGACGGACAGGACAGCCCCTTTGCGGAACCAGAGCATGGTGGCCCGCGCCTCGGCCAGCTTCCCGGGGACATGGACGCCCACTATGGGTGAGTACTCAGTCTGGTAGACGGGGGCCGAGCCGGGCTGGGAGGACGAGGCCACCCACAGTCTGTTGGAGTCAATGTCCACCAGGAAATGGCCGTTACCGGAGACAAAAGGCGTGACCGCTTTCTCCTGGGGAGTAGTGTATATTCCCTCGCCCCGGTCCACCAGTGACTTCCACCTGTGGATCTCAGTCTGGAGGCATTGTCCAGCCAGCCCGTCCGACTGGCTTGAGCCACTGAACAACCTCAAAGCGCTGTCTGAGCTAAGGTACCAGTAGAAGATGAGGAAAAACAGCAGTCCAATTAGCATTCTTCTAGCCCAGCTGCTTGACAGCAGACCTGGTAGGCCCTTTAGTCTTTGCTGGAGCCACATTGTATTTATGCGTTAGTCACTATAACTCAAGTTTGCAATTTGAGTAGTTAACGTTAGCTAGTGAGTTTAGTTAGCTACCTAATTATAACAAAAAACTGAACGGTCAAAGGTGGTTCTTCATTCTTTCTAACCAATATCAACGTTAGCAGACTAGGAGATGACCGCTTAGGTTTCTAGTTATTTATGTAGGAAGTGTTGTCTTTCCTGTTGGTAACTAGCAATGCACACGGTAGCTGGCTAGCTAACGTTAACTAGCGATGCTAATACACTGGTACTCAAAGATTGTATACCTAACAAGCTATGTTGCTATCCAACTAACAGCAACGTAGCTAAAAACATGTTTTCCATGTCAAACCTTGCTTGCTGTCAAATCTAACCAGTTAGCATGCTAACAAGTTAACCAAAACAAGCTAATTGAGCTAACGTACCTAGCGAGCTAGCTAAGTTATGGTGGTTGCAAACTAGCATTGCGCTGCGAGTTAGGCGACACTTTGTATTTGTTTCTCACATCGTGGCAATACGTTCATTGAGTGCAATTGTTGCTCATTTGTCGCTTGTCTCTAGCAGTTGGAATTGCATTCCTTTTTTAGGTGGATTACTTTTTTTCAAGCAATTCACCAATCTATCGTTGATACTTCTGGGTTTACTGAAATTACCGAAATTCACGTTGGATGATAGAAACCTTCTTCTTCTTCGATGAGGTTTAACGGCGGTTGGCATCCAATACATGTTGCATTGTCGCCACCTACTAGACTGGAGTATAACTCCCTTATACTTTGTTTTTAAAAAACAAAACAAAAAAACAAAAAATTAAATAAAATACAAAATAATAATACTAATACCCTACCATCTAACACTACACTCACAAAACATAAAAAAGTATAATAAGTCTCGCACACCCAAATAGCTCTCTGCAGCTGCCACCACAACCTTTATTTTCTGTGACTTAAGTTCCATCCCTGCAGTACAGTTGATAACCATTGCTATAAATACCAAAAATCCAATCTTACTGAAACATATATCACTTGTTGGTTTATCCCTCTGTACTGGTACAGATCTACTACTCACACCACTCCTTTCAGGATCCCTCCACCTTGACCCATCATCCTCTACTTTCTTCACTGCCTCAGTATATGACAGCTTCTGCACTACTCTAACACTGAAAACCTCAACCTGCCTCTCTCGCATGGGACATTTCTGATCCCCAGCCCCATTGTCACCCCTGCAATTAACACGTACCACTACTTTCCCCAATGCAACACATTCCTTTGACTCATGCCCTTCTGCACACTTCTCACACCTAGGAACCTCCCTCCTACACACTGCTGCCACATGCCCATAAGCTTGACACCTGTAACAGCGTAATGTATTCGGCACAAAAGCTTGTACAGGATAATATATCCTAACATCACTTTGTCGGGCAAAGACTCAACATCAAAACTCAAAAGAACAGACACTGACTCTTCTGTTTCTCCACTCACGCCACCCTGTCTGCGTCGCACCAAACGACGAGCATCACAAACACCGGGAATCTTCCCCTTCAGTTGGTCAGCTTTCACATTTACCCCATATCCCAGTAATCACTCCTTTCAATGGTGCCCTTTTCTTGAGAGCAAAACAATTCACATCCCTTGCCCCCATTCGTTTAACACGGAGCGCCTGCTCCCTCTGACCAGCAGAAACACAAACAATTATCACAAGACCACTTCTGGTTACCCTCATCGATTCCACAGCACCCAACTCTGTTTTCACCCACCCTGAAACCACAAATGGAACAGCCAAAAGGCAAGGGTCCACTTTTTCCAAAAACTTCACTCCTACTGTCACAGACTCATCTTTATCCTGACCAGTGGTGCAAGCCTCGGCTCCGAGAACTTCACCACACCTACCACCTCCGATACTTCGCCCTCCTTCACTTCCATTTCTCCTCCTGTCTTCAACTCACTCTCCTTACACTTTCTACCATTCTTCTTTAACAACCCAATCTCCCTTTTTCCCGCCACTTTTTAACCGACTCAAGCTCACCCTCTTCCTCCCTCTCTCTCTTAGACCTCCTCTGCCTCTCTTTTCCCCTCCATTCCTCCTCCGTATTCCAAGTAAAAGTCTCCTTATGATAATACTGCACTTCTCCTGACATACATCTTGTTCTTGCCTTGTCAAGGGACGCCATTTAGTTGGCTGTCACAATCTCCGTACAATCAGCACGAACCCCTTGGGATGTAGCTTGTAAATCCGAATTGTAGGCTAGTGTCTGTCTGATGATAGCAACCGGAAGTGTCGGAATTAGTTGAGAATTTTTACGACACAGTCTTTTGTCTTAGCTAGAAAGTTGCAAGTTATCACGTTTGTGTCTGAACTGAATATTCAATGTTAATCGCTATTCTAGCCTCGTTTATCCATCGAACCTGCTACTTATGAACCGGGTTCTGATCTTTTGTCTCTGATGATAAAACGTTTTGAGACAGACTGATGGGGCATTCAAGTGGGAAGTCGTAGTCCAACATGATTGTGGTCAATTAAAGCTTGTCTATTATATTGACAAGTCGATTGACCGCTCTAACAATGGAAATACATGTCCTCAAAAATGGAAGGCCGGTTGGATGAGGCGAGATCAGGTGGGACCATTCTAGCCAGATACAACAGGCCATAGACCTAGATAGATGACTCATCTTTGTATCTGTGCAATTATAGTGTCTGTGACAGCATAGGCAGCGCCATTGAGGTTATCTCCATTTTAAAGTAGTGAATGTTCTTACTTGGCTGATTGCTCCCAACTCATAGGAATCCCCACCCAGTTGACTACTTTAAAATGGTGGAAGCCCTCAATGGCAATGTTAATGTTAAAATGGGTTATATCCATGATGAGTCCTCTATATCTATGACAACTTTTTTCAAAGTTGCCTAAATGCCACATGCGTCCACATATCAGTGCATTATATCAGTGCATTCCTAACAACCTAACTATTACAAAACTTCTATGAGCTCAAAGCCTCAATTAGAAAAAATATAAATAAATTGTTGACCAAATTCAACGCTCATTGACCTCCATACAGGAATTCCTTAATTTATGCCCTTATTTTTTGTGGACAGATTTTGGGTGGAGTAAAACCTCTTGCTTTGCTCTTCCTCTGCTTCAAGTGCTTGTGAAGTCTTGACCACAGAGATAGATAGAGGACACATTTTTGTATCTGTGCCATTATAGTGTCTGTGACAGCATGGACAGTGCCATTGAGGCTATCTCCGTTTTGAAGTAGTCAATTTTATTCTTCACGATTGGCTGATCCCTCCTGACGACCCGGTTGGACATGACTCCAACAAGTCCCACCCAGTTGACCACATTCAAATGGTGGAAGCCCTTACTTGCGCTGCCCATGCTAATACCTCATTTTGGCCAGTAGAGGCCTCTCTCATTCTAGTCTTCAACCAATTGGATTTTAGCTAGTTGGATAAGCTACTGGCTAACATTACTAATAATGAAGTTAGAAAACTTGCTTAACATTGACAATATGGTCAAACTAGCTACAGTGGGGAAAAAAAGTATTTAGTCAGCCACCAATTGTGCAAGTTCTCCCACTTAAAAAGATGAGAGAGGCCTGTAATTTTCATCATATGTACACGTCAACTATGACAGACAAAATGAGAAAAAAAATTCCAGAAATTCACATTGTAGGATTTTTTATGAATTTATTTGCAAATTATGGTGGAAAATAAGTATTTGGTCAATAACAAAAGTTTCTCAATACTTTGTTATATACCCTTTGTTGGCAATGACACAGGTCAAATGTTTTCTGTAAGTCTTCACAAGGTTTTCACACACTGTTGCTGGTATTTTGGCCCATTCCTCCATGCAGATCTCCTCTAGAGCAGTGATGTTTTGGGGCTGTCGCTGGGCAACACAGACTTTCAACTCCCTCCAAAGATTTTCTATGGGGTTGAGATCTGGAGACTGGCTAGGCCACTCCAGGACCTTGAAATGCTTCTTACGAAGCCACTCCTTCGTTGCCCGGGCGGTGTGTTTGGGATCATTGTCATGCTGAAAGACCCAGCCACGTTTCATCTTCAATGCCCTTGCTGATGGAAGGAGGTTTTCACTCAAAATCTCACGATACATGGCCCCATTCATTCTTTCCTTTACACGGATCAGTCGTCCTGGTCCCTTTGCAGAAAAACAGCCCCAAAGCATGATGTTTCCACCCCCATGCTTCACAGTAGGTATGGTGTTCTTTGGATGCAACTCAGCATTCTTTGTCCTCCAAACACGACGAGTTGAGTTTTTACCAAAAAGTTATATTTTGGTTTCATCTGACCATATGACATTCTCCCAATCCTCTTCTGGATCATCCAAATGCACTCTAGCAAACTTCAGACGGGCCTGGACATGTACTGGCTTAAGCAGGGGGACACGTCTGGCACTGCGTAGTGTGTTACTGATGGTAGGCTTTGTTACTTTGGTCCCAGCTCTCTGCAGGTCATTCACTAGGTCCCCCCGTGTGGTTCTGGGATTTTTGCTCACCGTTCTTGTGATCATTTTGACCCCACGGGGTGAGATCTTGCGTGGAGCCCCAGATCGAGGGAGATTATCAGTGGTCTTGTATGTCTTCCATTTCCTAACAATTTCTCCCACAGTTGATTTCTTCAAACCAAGCTGCTTACCTATTGCAGATTCAATCTTCCCAGTCTGGTGCAGGTCTACAATTTTGTTTCTCGTGTCCTTTGACAGCTCTTTGGTCTTGGCCATAGTGGAGTTTGGAGTGTGACTGTTTGAGGTTGTGGACAGGTGTCTTTTATACTGATAACAAGTTCAAACAGGTGCCATTAATACAGGTAACGAGTGGAGGACAGAGGAGCCTCTTAAAGAAGAAGTTACAAGTCTGTGAGAGCCAGAAATCTTGCTTGTTTGTAGGTGACCAAATACTTATTTTCCACCATAATTTGCAAATAAATTCATCAAAAATCCTACAATGTAATTTTCTGGAAAAACATTTCTCAATTTGTCTGTC